GGGGGGGGGGGAAGCAAAAATAAAAGGATCTGGGTAGGAAGGTAGGGGCACATGCAAGTGACTAAGGCCTGCTTTATAAAACATACAGAGGGGTAGGGACTAGTTCTCTTGGTTCAGTTAGATGAAACTTGCACACAAGCCAGATTCAACCGCACAATGGAGACATTTTTTGTCCAGCAGAACAAAGTCGCAGGCGAATTTGTCACTTTTTCGGACAGAGTGAGGGGTGCAGTGATGAAAGCGGTGCCTAGGGAAGGGTCTGATCAGCGGAGCGGATTTATCTTACTGCTTATATATCATTGACTTATTTTGTTATCGATCAAGTGTATCTACCGATGTTTCTTTTTTTCGCCCTCCTGGACCTCTCACCTGCACTGCCGTACTCTGCAAGAGAAAAGAGGCGGGGCACAAGTTGATTGACATCAGGCCAGCACAGACATGTAGGTGGGTGTCAGAAAAAGGACGTGGCACCCCACCTCTGGAAGGAGGTGAACTCCGAGACGCACGCACACACACACACACACACACACACACACACACTAAATGCCACACTCAAAGATTACACACATACATCAAAAACCAAACAAAGTGCCCTTTTCACTTTCAGAAAAAAAAAAGGATAAACACTCATCGCTTCGGTAACTTGCCAAATGCACAGTTTGACCATTGGTTGTAGCTTACATTGACAAAATACTCAAAATTTCAGAGCAAAGCTGAATTGGGACGTACAACGCTCAGGGGTAAAGCCACCGATTGCGCAGCGATGTAATGGATAAAGCTTCGGATTGGCAAGTGTACAGAATGGATGAGTGAGAAAGGAAGGTAGGGTTTCAGCTCAGTGGGGCGGATGAGGGGAAAAAAGGATGGGAGAGACAAAAAACAGGACACAGACGACAAGCAGGGAAAAGTGGACGGACCAGGGCGGGGAAAAAGACATTTATAAACAGAGACAGCACTGGAATGCAAAGTCGAAGTGCGGGTGAGAATGCAGTTTCTGCTTCGGGCCATAATCCTCTGACTAAAATCGGCCTTTTGGTCTTGAGGCACATCTGATTTGATTCTTTTAAGGTGGCCTCGGGCACCAGGTCTCCCGGCTTTTTGATTGGTCTTTCTCTCTCCTTTGGACATTGGCTTTTTTCGCATTTTTTCTCACGCGGTCCTTGTGTGTGACCATTTTCCTAGAAATATGTTTCTAGATTTTCAAATTCTTATTTGAAAATCTCTTAATTTTCTTGCAATTTTGGCCTAAAAATACAAACAACACAAAAAAATGAAAAATAAAGAAAAGGCATGCTCAAAAGTAAAGTTAAAATTCAGGAAAATATTCTCGTCAGACCCGAAATTTCTGAAGTTTGCTGCAGCAAACCAGAGGTCTCTTTGGATGCAAGACTGTTAGAAGCACATCAATGGAAAACAACCATTTTCTGTGAAGTGGTATTTGTTCTTGGCATACTGAGAAACTTCACAGTTATAATTGCATCCTAAAAATCTCATTATTGTACGCAATTTAAATCGCTGCTTGAAATCTAGATTTCCAGCAGTGTCTACACAAGGGGGGCTGAGGAAGAACCCAAATTTATTGTGAAATAGGCAATGCCATCAAAAAATGTGTTACTTGGCTGAAAACTTTGCCTCTAAAAATGGAAGGAAACTAAATAATGATCTTCCCAGAATGAAAGGATTTGAGTTTTTTTGTACTCACTTTAAATATCACCATCAACTAACCTACTTAGAAATGAATGAATTAGCTCAGGTGTACTTTGTTTTATCTTGGGACCTGGGACACAGTTCAAGTTGGTTTAAGTTAATCTTGTCTGTAGGTTCATTGTAGTGTCAATATGCTCACAGTGACAGACATGTTGCTGTTTAGGTAATAAAGAATCGTTTTGGCATTAGCATTAGCATTAGTCAGGCCAGTTAGCATGCAAGCATTTGTTGAATAGCACTAGAAGCAGCTAAAGCTGATGGGATTGTTTGGTAGCTTTGAAGTTTTTTTAAGCGCCAACACACTGTCAAGCCAACACAATAAAATCGAAGAGAAATTTGCTAAACTGTTAAATGTTACCACTGTAAGAGGTTAGCATTTGGCATTGCTAGCCTTTACCTCTAAATGTTGTACCAATGCTGCTGGTCAGGTTACAAACTTGGGTATATATATTTATATATATTGGCATTTTGCAAAAATATCCGTCAGATTATTGATAGACTGAAATAGTCTGTGTGGAAGTGTGTCCCACTTTCACACGCATACCCTCCACGGACTTACTGTCGGTTATAGGCTCCATACAGAAGCCCAGCAGTGCATGAAGGAAATCCACAATGTTATTCAGTGAGTCTTTGTTTACATGGTCGCGCATTGTCTGGCGAAACTGCAGCTTGTCCAGCTTGTACAGGTTGGTTAGGCAGTTCTGGGCCTGAACACAAAGATAGATAAATCAATTAAAAGCATCTCGAGCAGGATTATGAACAATAATCTGAGGCAAAGTTGCTTTGTTTCAGGGGTTAGTCAGATAATATATGAGGAAAATGCATGTGTTCACTTAATGGGAGCAGCTTGGACAGAGTCTGACCTGCATTCGGAGGCGATCCCCAGAGAGCCCCCGGTGTCCTTCGCCACACCCGTAAGCACAGCCCAGAGACTTGACGATCTTTATCAGCATGCACAAAGCCAGGCGGTGAGTGCTGAGTCCAGAGGTTTCTTCCTGCTCGCACCGTGCAAAAATAAAGTGGGTTTACACCGAGATCATTCGATGGCACAGAGATCTGTATCAGTGACCCGGACTGGGGACACACCTTTTTATCATTATCCTTGTTATTCTTCACATCATCTTTGCTACCCTGCCCACTCCCTCCACCACTTCCTCCTCCTCCTCCTCCTCCACCATCCCCTCCTCCGCCTGCCCCTGCAATCGGCCCCCCTCCTTGGGCACCTCCACCGAGGCCCTGGGAAGCAGAGTCTTTGCTTCTCGCCTCCAGGTTCTCCTTGTTATCAGGCTTGGACAGTTTCTTGCCCATGCCTGGCACCACGCCCAACTGCAGCAGGCAGTCGATGAGGTTCAGGGCCACGTCGCAGACCCTGGAACTGATGTCATGGCTGAGGACGGCGTAAAGGGCTCGCAAAATAGCCTAAACAACAAAGGTTTGAAGAAAATGTTGGACTTCTGAATTTACACAAAGTTCGCTAGTTGGTTCCGGGGAGCACAACTTACAGTTAGGTCTAACATGCCATTTTTTAGGACAAAGTTGTTGGTCCCCTCGATGTTCTCGCCCTCCTCCAGGCAGGAGTAGTTGATGCAGGAGTCGGTGAGGCTGCGCGGCAGGTTGGCGCAGGCCAGCGGCTCCACGGGGAGTTCGGGCACAGCCACGGGGTTGCAGAGCTTTTTCATGTGCTCGGTGAAGAAGTCGGCATAGCCCACGTTGAAGGACGCCACTGTCGTGTTGAACGCTGCCATGGTGATGGTTGAGATCTGAGATCGGACTGTGAAACCACAGAAAAATGTCTTATAGTGGAAACTCAATATTAACCACTGGCTGGATGATATAAATATCTGCAGAACTTTGGGTGGTTGCCCCTCAGAGGTAAGGCTGGGTTGTGGTGTAACACATGGGTAGGTCTTTGGTTACCTTCTCCTCTCTAACTTGTGGTCTTGGACCAGCTCGGCTTTACATGGCTTTGGAGCCAGTCATGTTCAAAGCCTTTAATATTTTAATCTTATCTTAAAGTTACATCTAAGACTTTTCCGATCTGTTATTTACCCTACCCACAACTATCCATAAATAGTGCTCTTATTGCTGTCCCTAGATCCAAAGGAACATCAGGTTCTTTCCTTTAGAGCCCAGATCTTATTGGACCCTAACCACCACATTTGGTTCAACAGTTCCTTTGTATTTCTCTGGTCTGATTAATTTACAACACATTCTATTGATGCTCTTCTTGGCTGTCTCTCCCCTCTCTCTTCCTTTAATTGTGCAGTAATGTAAAGCATGGCATCTGTTTTCCAGTTTTATGGTAAATTCAATCTGTTTCCAGTCATTAAGGCACTGTGGTTTTGAGTCTGCAGCCAGCGCTCCCGTTTGTGTGCAAGTTTGGATCGTCACAACAATACTGCCGTTACATAATCCCGTCCTACTTCAGATCTGCTCTGCTGGCCTCAGAGGAGCCAGATGCATCTGTCCTCCTTTTAATTGGAGATGACGAACAACAACATCAGATGATGTTGGTTTATTCTGCCATGTATTCATAAAAAGCAAACATTTAATTATCCAGCTTCTGCAGGAGCCGTTTTTTTGGGGTGAACTAGATTCTGACACTAAAAACACGTCAGATAGTAAACGGTGTGAAACATATCCCCGAGATTCTTTTGATTTGCTGGACCCAGAAAATACAGAAAGGTACGATAAAGAGCAAGTCTGCATATTTGTTCACACTCCTGGAAAATCCCATTTACAGTTGATTGTAACCCGACTCAGATCGTACGCCCTGGTGCACGGTCCTGCCCTCTCCTTACCCTCTTTGACCGTGTTGTCGCCGTGGCTATTGGAGTGGTCCGGCATGTCTCGGAGCAGAGAGTGGTGAGAATGAGAGTGCTTGGCACTCAGGCTGTCTGCATCTGCAGCCGTGTCCGTGCTGCCCCTGCGTGTGAATTTGCCTGGAACACATTGACAAAAAAAAATAAAATAAAGGAAGTTGTCTCTGAAACAGCAGTCTTCAACATTTAACTGAAAGTAAGGATGAAAGATGATATATACAGTGGGAAAAATAAGTATTTGACCCATTGCTGATTTTACAGGTTTGCCAACTTACAAAGAATGCTTATTTTTTCTCATCAGATGGTTATCAATTTATATAAATTCATATGATGTGATTTTCTGGAATTTTCTTTGGGATTCTGTCTTTCACTGTTAGAATGTACATATGATTAAAGTTATAGATCATTGCATTCTTTGAAAGTGGGCAAACCTGCAAAATCAGAAAGGGGTCAAATACTTATTTCCCCCACTGTACGAGAATGGAAAAGACCAGAGGGTTCACAGAAAATAAAAAGTGTATACTAATAATACAAACTCTATTTGTGCCCTCAGCTCATTTCAATCCGTGCCTCTAATAGGAAAGAGCACTGTTAATGAACTGACCTAATTCACTAGCTGAAAGTCAGATCCACACAGAGTCCTTTGACTCACTAAGACTCACTTGAGGGCGAGCAAAAAATAACATGAGAGCTGTTGTCATTTGCCGTTCTCACAAGCAGCAACCGGCCCTACCCATGATGGTGGCCTGCCAGCCCCCGCGGTCCACCACCCGCCGGTCGTCGCCCAGGCCCGAGAAGCTGCCGAAGGAGAAGGTGCTCCGCGTGGGCGACACGTCCAGGTGGTCCTCGTGCAACAGGAAAGGCACCCCCATGCGTCTCTGCCGCTTCTTTCCGGCGTGGTGGTAGGGGATGGAGCCCTTTCTCTCCCGGTCGTCGCGGCGGTTCTTGAACTAAAAACACAGCAGGGGGGACGATAGGGTTTGCCTCAACACTTTCCCGTCTTGTTACGATGTCTGCACGTTTGAAATGCCTCTGACCTTCTTGAAGATGTTCATGCCCAGGTCTGAGGACAGGTCGGGGACGGCCTGTCGACGCAGGTTTGTCAAAGAGACCCTCGCGAAAGTCTCCGAGCTCAGCGACTTGCCTTCCTCGTTGCACTTCAGACTCATATCCTGCAGAGAGGGGCGCAGAGGTCCTAAATGCGACCTATCGACGGCCCGGGCCCACACCCAGAAGACTCTGTACCTGGGTCTTGTGGGTGTTGACCAGCGACGGGGTGGCGGCCACCATGGAGCTGCTGCGGGGGCGCGGCAGGGGCGCCACCAGGGGCTCCGAGGTGCGCTCGGGCCGCTCCTCCAGGATCTGCCTCAGGCGCTGCAGGTAGTACATCAGGGCCCAGTGCACCCCTTCCTCCAGCCAGTGCGGCTGCAGCAGGCAGCGCAGCACCGCCACGTCGAAGTAGGTGGCGTAGCGCGCGCGCTGGGCCAGAGAAGTGGGCAGGCCGGCGGGGGCCGACGTCCTGGAAGGGGGGGAAAGAGGAGACGGGGACGGTGTCATGGACTTGATCATGGTGACGTGACTGGGGCTGTAGGGACGAGAATCGCAAAATAGGAAAGTTCAGGATATCGAAATGTTCCGTGGCAGGCTTTGAAACTGGCAACCCGTCCAGTCAAGGCAGTCAGTTTGTATAACAGTATTTGAAATGCTTGAGACATTGGTCATTAGGCAAATATGTTCATACCATGTCCTGAATGGCTTTTTAAAGATGTTAAAGAACCAGTGGATGTTACAAAACAAGGGGTAAATTGGTATGATGGGATTGTACTTAGATTTAAGTAATAAAATGTTTTTTTTTTTTTTTTTTTTAGACGACAGCTGGGACATCTCCGGTCCTCCGACTGAACGGGGTTCCTCTCGTTTCTGTCAATGACAACGTGATCGATGGGGAGGAACATTGTCCAAAGTCAACAGATGTGAACAGGAGTTCAACAGAGGGTTTTCTTTAAGATCTGGGCTTTGACACCTTTAGGAATACTACACATCGAGGACCCTTCCTGTTGTATTAGGCGGCCATCCACTCCCGCCACATTGGCTCATTAATATTGCATCAGAGGAAGGATAGTAAACAAGTGCAGAGCCCCCCTTCAGCTTCGTCGGGAGTGCAGCAGGGAGATAAGGAGCCGAAGCCTACGTGAGTCCACTATAAATAAGCTGGAATGAAGGTCAGCGGCTGGTGTGCTGCGGAGCGTATGGAGCAGGATGAAGTGTGGGGAAACATACTGATGCCAGAAGAGCGAGAGGCAGAGGAGGGCTTTTAATCTGGGCCCGGCTGTAATAAATGGAAACGGGAAGGACGTGGTCGATATCTGCATGAATCACTTTGAGAGCTGGTGGCAGAGGGAGGCTGTATCACGTTTCTCCGTCTAGCCGACACTGCCTCACACACACACACACACACACACACACACACACACACACACACACTTTGCCTACTGCTGTTGTGTCACGTTGCCTAGGAGACCGAGTGACGACATCCACCCCAGGCCATCCAAGAGGCAGAGCCCCCGCCCCCCCCCCCCCCCTCCCCGCACCGCAACCCCATCCTCCCGACTCCATGCGGCAGCCAGCGGTCGCCATGGAAACTGCTTCAGCATCAGAGGAGCTCTGAGAAGTGGGGAATGAGTAAGCCGAATTAATCACTGGACCTGACGACCGGAAGTGGCGCGCTGCAGAGGTGTGTGTGTTTGTGTGTGCGTGTCGTGTGTGTGTGTGTGTGTGTGTGTGCATGTGTGAGAACGAGATACTGTCAGCTGAAAACAACAACAGTCACATTCATCCACCTGCCTGCAAATTCTTTTCACAGATGCATACAGACATAAATTAATCTGCCTCGGCTGAGCGCGTGCACAAAAACACAACCAGTAAATCTGCTATTTGTGTGCATGAGGACAGGACTGATCCTGGAGAGAGGGTTTCGGGGCTTATTTTTGAGTCTCATTCTGGCCGTCGGAGGGGATCAGGGGAAGCGTCGGAGTGATTTATCTGGGTGCCGGAATCAGTTGAGAGGAGCAATGAAGAATGGCCTCTCGTGGGGCGGTTCATGGGGAATCCGCAACACTTCACACACTTCACAGGCAGCCCTTAAAACAAATTAACTACGAGATGAACACGAGCCGTGATGCGTTAGTCTCACTGATGGCATTTCCTTCTGCCCGATTTTGGCTTGTGAACGGGACCCTTTCTTTTGGACCCATCCTGAGCCCTGACAGAGCGTTGTTTCCATCGCAATTAACCCGTTTGTATGCGGGCTAACATCACACGAGCGAAAAAAAGAGCATGTCTGTGAGGAGGCAGCGCTGCTCGGGGGGGGCGGGAAACATATCGCACGGGGAAAGGCAGAGCGGCTCATATCGCATCTGACAGACGCCGCCGCGGGGCCAAAAGTTTATCCGTCAAACCAGACGACGGCACCGGCGCCGTGTCAGAACAGGTCACTCAAGGGAGAAAAGGGACGCGAGGCTCATCCGGGCCACGCGATACGCCGGTGGCTGTAGTTGTAAGAGATCTAAAGCAAACACTTTTGGAGGAAATGTGATTCTGATGACATGATCTATGCATTTGTAAAGACTAAAAGAGGGGCTGAAAATGAAAAGCTAACGGGGCTTTATGTGAACAGTCTTGTAAAAAACTAAAAAAAGTTGATTCTACCAGTGATCTAAGGGATCTAATGAAACAAAATTACGTCCCACTGGCTTCTGAGAGGAAGTGGAACGAGTGCTCACTTTTTCTTTGAAGGGCCTTTGACCAGCGGGGGTTGTTGCGACGGGCCACCTTTCTCCACCGAGTTGCCACGACGACAGCTCCGCTCGCCAGCTGCTGGGGAGGAGGAATCCGATTGGGCGGCTTCGCAGACCACCTGGAAGCCCTGTTAGGTTAGAGATGGACAGATACGGTAGACGGGGGAGATTAACCGGAAGGCAAGCAGGCAACGTTCTAATAAATCACAAGCTCCGAGGGAGTAATGAGGCTTCTGCTGGAGCCCTGGCTTACAGTGCTCCCAAAAGGCCGGCGTTAATGAATATTAACACCCAGCCCCCCTAGGGTGGGGGGTATGAGTAAGGGGGGTGGGGGGGCTCGATCTCCAGCCTGAACATGTTTAACCAGCACGGGAGGCTAAATCTGACACGATTTGAGCTTAGAACAAAAGAAGGAGGAAGGCTTACGGTGGGGCCTGGGTTTCCAGATCCACAGGGGCTGCACTGGTTGTTGACTGGGGAGTTCCTCTTTGCTGTCGGGGCGGGCAGAGCAAAAAAAAAAAAACGGGTAGCACAGACAATAAAAGACAAATTAACCGTGACACAGATTTACAGAGCAGCGACTGAAAGCTTAACCCCACCCGGCCCTCCTTCCCGCCATACCGGTTACGATATTTCTGACAGGTTTGATGAGGGAGGTGAAGGCGGCGATGTCGGGCTGGCGGTGCTCCCACATGGGCTGCCAAATGACCAGACCACTGGCCAACCGGAAGGTCAGATCAGACTCCTAAACATAAGGCGAGATATTCAAAACCTGATCCTTTTTGTGTGTCTAAACCAGTGTTTTTCAATCTTTTTTGACCCAAGGTACATTTTTTCATTGAAAGAATCACGAGGCACACCACCAACCAAAAATGTCAAACAAATCTGTAGCCGCCTATAGTAACACTATAGTTTTTCTTATCTTATCTTAAGTGTCTTGAATAGGAATCAAATAAACACAAAAATGTACTTTTATCATATTTTATATTTCTTCTTTCAAATTGCACTTAACATGTCCACTTCAATATGCAAAATTATATACAAAATCTAGTCATAAGGAATTATTACATGATTACTCCACCAGTCACTAGTACAGCACAGACACCCAAAAATTATTTGCAGATAATTAATTCCTTATCCAAAAATCTTTTTAGACCAATTAGGTGAAATAGGATGATTTTCTATGGCACACCTGACCATCACTCGCGGCATACTAGTGCCAAGGCACAGTGGTTGAAAAACACTGGTCTAAACAACCCCCAAAAAACAGACCTTGATGCGATGAATCAGGGGTGCGAACAGGAAGACGAACAGCTCCACCGTCACCATGCTCTTGTGGAAGAGCTTGGTGCGGGCGTGCTCGTCCTCCTCCATCAGGGAGCTGCCGCGCTGGGGCCCCGAGCCGCCCAGGGCCGAGCCCGAGCCGGGGGCCCCCGGGGACGAGCTCTGGTTGAGCTGGAGGAAGGCGCTGCTGCTGCCGCTGCCACCGCCGGACCAGCCGTGGCCCAGGCTGGGCTCGTGGTTGCACTCCTGGGCCGCCTCCAGCAGCATCCAGTGCAGCGTGTGGAGCAGCTTGGTCTCGGCCACGCCCAGTTTGTCCTGGTGGCCTGGAAATGGAGATCTACCGTCACTTCTGCTACCTGGAAGTTCAACTATTATCTCATTGACTGCCAGCCATTTTCAAAACGGAGAGTCCCATACTGCCGGAGTTTTTTGACCATTTTGACTGATTTTTCAAGAGCTGTAGAATAGTTTGTGCTATGACTATGTAAACACCGAACACACCAAAAGAAAGAGTAGACTCTCTTCTTTCATCAGGAAATTTTTTTTGTTTCTACCTTATTCCGTTCTTCCTCGACTTGCGTCTTACCAGCGCCATTTCTCGCATAGCGAACCATTACGTTTTTCTTATTTGCCTACAGTCTATGCTCATCTCCCATCAAAAGTGGCACTGCCACCTAGAGGGTCAATTTGTTAGTACATACTCTGTCTAGAAGCCGATATTTACGGACAAGCTTTACCAGATCGTCCCCCAAGCCACTCTCGTTGAAAAACATAAAAGACGTCTATAGACGTCTTTGGCAGTCAACGGTTGTATTTGAATTGACGTCTATAGACGTCTTTGGCAGCCAATGAGTTAAAATTGAAGTCGTTGCCCCCGGGAGACCAGAGAAAACGTTTTAAAACTAAACTATTTGACTCATCCAGTTGAGTTAACCACATTTCTTGTGTGATTTTGTCAAGTTTTTGCTGCCGTTTACTTGTAAATAAAACTAAATGTTATTTTTAGATGCGCTCAGGCGGTATTTTTTTTAAAATGACTAAAATCCTTCTCCCAACTGACATTTGACTGCTGGAAACAGTTAAACACGCCCTTTTATTCCACCGTTTATGCACTTAGGTTACAGAATATGAACAGAAATTCAAAGAAACTTGAATTCCCTCCCTTTTATCGCAACACTACGCATTTTCTCTGTCAGGCAGGTGAAGGAGAACGTGCTTTGTGTCGGACCGGATGAGGAGAATCTGGACAGATATGTCATGCTCAGCGCTGGAAGCGGGAAGGCATTCACCCCTTCCTCACCCAGCTTGTTCCTGTTGGACAGCAGGATGGAGGTGCAGTGGAGCACGTGGGGCAGCGCCGCCTGGACCAGCTCCCAGCGGGAGATGCTCTGGATGGCCTCGGACAGGGCCGGCGACAGCCCGTGCAGCTTGTTCTCCACCAGCACCCGCTCGAAAGACTGGGGAGGCAGCCAGAGAGAAACAAGACGTCAGCCAAGAAAAAAGGGAAGCCCCGCTTTTCTTTTGACTAGCTAAATATGCCACACGGCCTTTAGAGAGGAGATGCCCGTGGGACAACACAGTACCCGCTCTGTTTAGTCCCAAGTGGATGCAGGGGAAGCATCATTATGCATATGAGTTGACCCCAAAAAGAAAAACAAGAAGGCTTACTATTGAGTAATCTGAGAAATTGAGGAAAAAACTCATTTGGAAAATGTAAAAGCAGGTGCATTAAGGTAAAACAGATTACCGGGAGAGAGGGGGGAAAAAGCGATTAATTCTGCTCATGACATGGATGGCATTATGAAATGACTCACCACACAGGAGGCCTCATACTGTTTCCCCAACTTTGGACGCAGAAAAGCACTGCAAGATATTTAAAGAAGAAGGGGGGGGGGGGGAAAGCCGGATATCATTCATAGGGGAGGTTAAAATACCTATTCCGACATAGACACGTCCTGTGTAAGATAAGAGCTCCAACGTACACTCATTTATTCTCGGTCGTTTACTCAGTTTGTTTGTTTGTTTTTAGCCAACGTTTGCTTTACAGGTGTGACAAGATACGGTCTGCATCCCCGTTCAAAGAAAAAACCGGCACACACTCGAATTCCATCTATTTTCCACCCTCGAACATCCGAATTTTGACGATTTTGACGTGTCGAGCTGCCGCTTTGGCGGGAAGGGGGTGACCAAACGTCCGCACGAGGGAAGAAGGAGAAAAAAAAAACCGTCCCCGCTCGTTCGCGGTAATGACAAACACCTGTTATCAATTAACCGCCGAGGACGGGGACACGAACCTGGTTTGCCTCCACAGGAAGGTCTGGATGGGGAACGGTACTCCCTTCCCGCACTCCGGCTCGTTCTCGTCCAGGCTTTTTCTCTTCACCATTTTCCACCCCTACCCCTACCCCCCTTCACCTGGACCCGGTCCGCGAGCGCCGGCACGCGCGGGCGGCTGCCTCGGCTCTGCCCAGGTGACTGCCTCGCGACACGGCCGGGCTCGCTCCTGCGTAAAATGGCTGCAAGTGTCGGTCGGCGGTGATAGTGAGATTGAGGGAGGGAGGGAGGTAGGGAGGAGGAGGAGAAGAAGAAGAAGAAGAAGAAGAAGGGGGCTGGTGGTGGAGGAGGAGGTGCGCGAGAGCTCTGATTTCAGCACCTCCGTCACCGGACAGCGACAGTCGATCATCGGAGGAGGAGGTGGGGGGTAATTTATTCTTATGGCCGGGGGGGGGGAGTAAAGCTTAAAGACGCAGTATGCAGCTGCGCCAGATGTTTCCCATCGCCTCTGCATGGTGCAGCCAGGCCCAAAAAAGACGCATGAAGGAGGAGGACTCACCGTTTGACAACAGGTTGTCAACAGGTTGTTTACTAACCCATCTAATAACACAAGAACCCCCACTCGGATCAATATGGCATCATAGCCAATCATGCCTCAATAACATAATCTTTTGGAGATTACAAAATTATGGTTTTGAAAAGTAAAAAGGTTTTTAAAAAAAGCAACTTTTACATAAACTTGAATATTTTCTGTCACTGATTCTAATTGAACTAGGCATCTCAAAATGAGGCTTGAAAACATACACTCACAGAAATATTCTTGCTTTTCCGCCTGCCCGAAATAAACGCTTTTAATACGATTATGTCGCGGCATCAGGTTAAACATGGAGCCAGCTATAGGCATGTCCTCTTTTCTTCTTTTTTAACCCAACTTTCTCTGCTTATTATCGCTTTCCACAATCGAGCCTTTGCACACTGGCAACTTAAGACACACACACGCCCCACTTTCAAGTGTCAAGTGACCAGTCGTGGCCCAAAGTCCTGTCTGAATCTGGTTGATTTAGTTTTTTTTTAGTCATAAAAACCTTGGTCCGAATCTGAAAATGGCTTAAATTAAGCCGGTCACTGCAAGAACACGAGCATGGAGACACTTTGGCCCAGCTTGAAATAAAAAAATGATACACAAGACTAGAATGAACCAGTTTTTTATTTCCTTTATTTATGTAGTCATCATCCTGTAAGGAGCATTTGTCATCAGAATGTCTCAAACTTTGGAAAGTGTGCACATACATCTACATGTTTTTTTAAATACACTTACACAGGCAAAAAGGGGGTCCGGAGAGGAGGGAGGCTGGAAGAGAGGAAGCACAGAAAAACACCTTGGGGGGAATTTAACAACAGAAGGGAGGGGAAGGGGGGGTAGAGAGAAAGAGAAGGGAGGAGTTTTCACAAACATGAGCAGAGGATATACCAGCAGAGTTTGTTTGTATCGATTCTTTTTTGTTTTGTTTTTTAAAAATGAACCCTAACAGCTGCAACTTACGGGTTAAGTTAACTCTCATTCTTTATCATTCTTCTTCTTCTTTTTTTAACTTCCTGCTGCATTCAAAACCGCCACGCTGGCTCCTCAATCACACAACAGAGGCAACACGCGGCAGCTCTTTCAACTGGAATGTCTTCATATAAAGCTTCATACTTCGCGCTGAATTTTTTTTTCTTCTTTTTTTTTTTTCCTTTTTGTTTTTAAAACAAACCCGGGGCCCCGTGACCCCAGGAAATGCACCCCGTACGCTTTGCGCTCACGCGGACTAAGTTTCAAGACAGCCGCAAATAGGTCAAACGCACTCATCTTTTATTTCGCCATGCCAGCATAACAGCGTTGTTTAAACTTGATAAAACTACAGCGCTAACGTAGAAACCCAACCACGACGACGACGACAACGAAACCGAAAGTAAGAACAAACAAGCAGCCTATTGGGGAGCTATTTGTCGAGCGCTCGGGTTGAGGCGACTGCACTGGTGATCCACGTTTAAATGCTAAGAAGCCAGGGCAGCCACGGGGGAACGTAGAAAAAACCGGAACGCTACGAGTGACATCGATAGAAAAAAGAAAGAAAAGAAATCGGAACAAGAAAAAAACCAAAAAAAACAGCCATTCATAACTTTAAAATCCAACGTACCAATGGGGGTAGAAATCCATGGCCCCCATTGCCAGCCGAGCCTTTTACGGGCCGGTTACTCGCCATATTTCCGCACATCTTTTAAGACCAGCGTCAGTCACGTAAGTCGCTTAACGTTCAGTACCGTAGAAATTCCGAATGGACGTCGTGAGTTCACCTTAAGACCGTGTCCTCGACTCAAGGGCACTGTGGCGTTTCCTGTTCCGTACACACACAGATCAACCGAAGAAAATAAAACTCAGAACAAAAACAATCGCCGTACAATCGTAAAAACCGGCTTATTGGAACAAATTGCAGCCACTCCAGCCTCCAGGCTTTTCTAAAAACAAAACTGAACAGTTCTGATGTGTGTGGGGTAGGGGGTGGTGGATGGACAACTAAGGGTTTCCCTTTTCTGTAAGATAGTTTTTTCTTTTTTCTTTTTTAAATCCAACTGGAGGATCTGGATAACGGAGGAGGTTGATAGGCTACAACCGGAGAACCCCCAGGGTCACGAGTGTTGGGGATAAGGGAATGTGTTGGGGATGACACTGATAGGGGAGAGGAGGAATGCAATGTGTTGTTGTTTGTTGTTGGGTTTTTTCCGGAGGGTTCCGGAAGCTCACAAGCCCTGCTTGGCCAGGGCGGCGGTGACGTCCTGCGCCAGCGTGCACAGCTGCGGCGACTCCAGCATGTTGATGCTGCCGGCCGAGGACAGGCGAGGGGAGGTGCCCCCCGTCTCCACCCCCGGCGAGTGGGTGACGACGATCTCCGCGCCGTGGTCCACGCGGGCTTTGGCCGTCTCCCGGAAGTTCAGCTTGTGGCTCTCGATCTGGGACAGGCGAGGGGGGGGTTAAATCAGACGGCCCAGACATTTGGACGATTTGGGATTAAAACTTTTTTTTTTTTTTACCATGACGTTCCCCCCTCCGGGAGTGTGGGTTGTATTGTCCAAGGAGCCAACCTTGGCGTGGGCCTTGTCTTTAAAGTCCAGTTTCACGTTCTCGATCCGAACGTGTCCTCCCCCTGGGGGGAAAAAAAAAAAAAAAGTGCAAGGGGGAGAAAAGTGTGAAACCCACTCGGCATCGCCTGCCTACAGGGGTGGCTATCGGCTAAGGCATCCCATCCCGGACAGGACGCTCTCCGCCTGAGCCGAATTCAAACTGACAACCCGGCTGATTAAAGCGCGTCTCTGACACGCTAATTGAAACTGTCTCGGTTGGTTTTTAGTCAGCCAACTGCTAAACGATTCCCCGAAAATGGCATCATCGTCATCATCATTATTACGATTTCATAAATATGGCGACCTGTCTCTTTGGTTCTCTTCAGGGAAATCCACAAAAAGCTTGTCTGGCCTGTTTCCTGTGAAACTCCCCGTCGTACGCAGAAAACTGAACCCGGGGTGGACGGAGATGGTGATTTTAGTTGCTGCTTTTAGGAACGAGAATTCCTAGAATTCCATGCTTTCTCAGTTTGACTACAGCGATGGTGTGGTGTCTCGTCCAAGTGAAACCAAGGGAAACACCCGGATATCATTCAAGGTTCCACTTGGTTGTTGGTTTCCATTAAATAACTCTCCATCTGGAGAACTCTTAACCCTTTTTGCCGCCATTAACTAGCCTCCCTCCCCTCTTGTACCTTTACAAACCCTCGGTGTATTGTTCTGTTCTTCCTCGGAAATCTCTCGTTTTCTACCGTCAAAATGCATGATTCTAACAGACAGTCAAATTGCTGAGGTCCAACGGGTTATAAATGCGGATGGATCTGGCCTGCGATTGGACGGTCTCACTACAGAGGAAAACACGAGCACGTGGGCACAAAGCTCCACGTCTCAGCTCTGTGGTCTAGGTCTTAACTTGCCCTGGTCGGCAATTTTCTCCATAAGCCTCTTCCTAGATTCCGTCTTATTTCGGAAGCAAGCGCTGACTCGGGTTGTGGTTCCATGCCGTACCTGGTCTGTGGCGGATGTTGGACATGGAGCCACACTTGGAGGTGATGTGGCTCAAGTCGATCTTCTTGGTCTGGATTTGGACCTGTGGGCAGAGGCGAGGGGTTTGGAAGTTAGTCGGAAGGTAGGGGGTGATCTTGCGGGAGACGTGAACTCAAACCACAAAGACTAGGGCACACGACGGATGGAAACGTGATGACCAGAAGTGTTGATCGTCCGCCAACACTTCCCTCGGTGAGGGGTTAACATGAACTAGCGACAGAGGAACTATGTGACACATCCACAGGTGAGTCAAATGGTTAAATTCTGTGAAGGGATGTGGAGAACTTTAGGTATGATTCGCCTCCGAGTGAAGGCTTTAGGTACGCTAGAGCTGGGGAACAGCTCACAGACACACACTCATGCCTAAAATGAGGAGGGGAGACACCAGAGAGACGAATGCTCGGAAAGGAGAAGGGGGGGTTTTTCGACTACGGCTTTCGAGTCACTCACGTTTCCACCGCCCGCCGAGTGGTGGACTTTGTCCAGGGAGCCACATTTAGCCTGAACGTGGCTAAAATCCAGCTTAACACTCGGAATCATGACCTGGGGACGACATGACGACCCGTTTTTTTTTTTTTTCCGGTTGCAAAACATTCGGCAAAGGCTTTTCTCAAACAGAAGGGGGAGGTGAACACGGCTCAGAGCGTCAACGCTGAACTTTGAACAACACACACTTGACTGGACCTCGTCTAGGGGCACTTTGGGAGAAAAGCTTTCTCTTTTATTTGTTATTTTTGGACTGAGATGAGCAACGTTGCAGACAAACGGATGAACACATAAAAGTAGCCTGACAGAGTGCTAGAACTGGAGCGGAAAGAGGGTTAAAGGGGGGAAAGAGAGAAAGCAGAAAGAAGCGAAAAGCGTACATACATTGCCTCCTTTGGGCGCGTGCTTCAGATTATCCTTGGACCCACACTTTGACTGAACATGACTGAAGTCCAGCTTCTCGTGTAAAATTTGAACCTAAAATACATTGAACAGTAAAAAAAAAAAAAAAAGAACAACAAAATACACTATGTGTGCCTTAGTAATATAAGAATATAAGGTTAGTGATGAGTGGTCATATTCAGTTACTCTACAGCCCTCTGACAACTGTGGGGTTCTGTGGGGCAGAAAGAATCTCATTGGCTGTGTAAAATGTTGGAATAATTCAAGGACTAACTTCTAGAAAAGAAAAACCAAATCTGTGCTTTAAAAATGAGCAAATTCACTAAGAGTGCTTCATCTGCCAAACCCACTGCTTTTTTTTGGACATTTATAAATAAAAGTGGTCTTTAACCACATACATTTTTAAAAATCTTTTTATAGAATGCTTCAATCATCTATCCACCAACGTTGCTCAAATTTGGCTCATAGGTTTGGAACAAACACGCTAGAAGTAAGCTACAACCTTAATCTTGTATCACACCATGTTGATGTTGGTCAATACAACCAATGAGTCTTTCAACCTTGGGCGGTATGTTTGTGTTGTTTGTGTTGTAAAAAAAAAAAAAAAGAAAAGAAACAGAAACACCTGTGCTTTGGGGTCAAGGAGCAGGTCGGTGGTGGTAGGGGGGAGGGGTGAGAGAGCATGGAGGTAGTAAAGGGTCAGACAACGGGCATCAGGGAGAATGTTAAGTCATACAGTTATTTTCAGGATTCCCTGCTTTGAGAAAGTGATTTTTTTAAATTATTATCATTTTTTCCCCCTTTGAAAAAAAGATAGATAAGAAAGTATTCATTTATTTTTCTGATAGGCAAAGGAAGGATGTGCATGTGTATGTTTTAAAGCATTATCTTGCCTAAAATAGCCATAGTTTTGGTTAAAATAAGATAATACAAATACAACAAGGTGGAAAATGCCAAATACTTCTATTCATTAACATTTTGAAGTGGCTTTTTCTATCTTTTTGGACATATATTGATGCTAAATCTCTGTTTAGCGGTAAGTTTTATTGGGATTCCGTCTCACCAAGCTGCCATCTTTATTAGAACTAACTGAGCATAGGTCTTCGCCTTTCTCCTCAAACGGGAAAGAAGAGCTGGCGAAATGACAAAAGGTCTGTCATACATCACTGAATTTAATGAAAAGTCACACCTCTGCAAGGACTGTTAAGCCTGCCGTTGCCTTGGTAATATGATTAAAAATTCACATGGTATTCGCCTTCCACTGGCCTACTGCAACCCTGACATCCTTTATCCAAAGGATATCTAGGTTAATCTAAGACATTTTCTCTTTTTATGCCAGCAGGTTGACCGTCTATCAATTAAAAATGTTTTATCAAGCGATCTTCCTCTGCTCATAAAAGGAAAACTGCTTGTGGGGGAAATCCTAAAAGCAGCCATTAAAATGAAACCTTCTAGAAAACTCTCTCATTCAGTACCTTTAAAGATATTGCATGGTCAGGATGACGCTGGTGGTGGTGGGGAGGGGGTGGTGAGGATAAAAAAGATGGAGGGCAGTCAGAAGAAGAGGCCTGAGGCAGGGAGATGACGGCTAACTCAGACTGACAGTGGGCAGGGGGCAGAGGACGGTGAAAGCCAGCAGACGCACGGTGACAGCAAAGCAGAGGCCCACAGATGGGCCGGACGGTGACCGAAGATGAACATAGGAGGAGGGAAATCTGAGGAATTTCAAACTAGTCTGCAATTCCATGGGGAAGGCGGGAAGGAAAAGTGGATAAATACAGGAGAAAACCCAGTAAAATCTGCCTTTTTGCTCTGAAATTCTCAAATATTTTGATAATTTTTTATTTTGAATGTGTATTTTTCATTTGAACAAGAGGGCTTTTAGTTGAATTTATAGAATATATAAAATAGTGGAAAAAACAAAACAACAATCCAACATAGTGTTGTACTACACTGCCCCCATGTGGCGGCTTTAGGTGCAGCTTTCAAATTTCAAAGCCACATGGTTTGATTTGTAGATTTATACCTTTTTCCTTCTTCACATATCAGCTGGTACTTTAAAACCACTGACAGGTCGTGCGAGTGAGCTTTGTCTATTTATTGCCAAACAGAGTTTCCACGTCGATTAACTGAGGACTGGAAACTGGACAAAGAGCCGGACGTCTGTCCAGACTTCTTGCCCCGTTTCCACCGCGGTGACTTCAGTGGAAAATCTTATAATCAGATTACACATCTGTGGAATTGTGGTCATTGAGTTAAAGGTCTATAAAATTAAAAAATGTAAAACTTTGGAGCTGTTTCGAGCTGTCAAACATGACAGGATACACCTTCAAAGTTCTTATGCCCATTTCCTTAAAAATGATAACGACCAAAAGAATTTAAGGGAGGTGATTTTAAAGTTTTGGCTGATGGCTGGAAAAAATGTAATCAGGTGTTCAACCCACAGAACTCCTCAACGATCCCACGACTGTGGTCCCAGGGCAGTCCTGTTACCTGTCCCCCTTTGGGTTGGTGTTTGAGGTTGGAGGTGGACCCGATCTTGGACTTTACATTCTTCAGGTCGGGCAGCGGCTGGTTGAGGACCTTCAGCTGCCGCTGGACCGAGGACGGGGACTTGGGCGGGGTCCGGATAACCGCCACCTTCTTCTCCTGGAGGACGCTGAAGGACTTGGGCGTGTGGCTGCCGGGCGTGCGCGAGCCCGGGGTGCGGCAGGAGTAGCTGGGCGGCGTGCCGGGCGTCACGGCCGAGGAGCCCGGGGTGGAGGCGCCGCTGCGCACCGACCGGGAACGGGCCGAGTCTGTGCCTTTGAGAGAGGAGGACATTTTGAGTTCTTACACCGCCCTGCGGATCACCAGAGGATAGGGCGGCGACAAAGTTGTGTGAAGACAAAGAACGCATGTGAGATGGAGAACAGACAGCGGTCGATTTTTTTGCCAACTGCCAGACACCAGGGCCAACAGGGTCAACAAAAGCCCAGAAGGTTTCGGAGTAAGAACGGCAAACAGGATCGCGCCTCGTTTGGCGGAGCCATTCCGAACCCAAAACAAGTAAAAAACCCAACATCCATCTTTGATGCCAGCAGGCCCACGAAAACCCCCCCCAAAAAAACCCTCAGAATAATGAGATGAAATGAGTGGAAGTTACTCCAGTGGCAATCTAGATGAGTTGATGAAAGTTGGAGGGTTGGGTCTAAAAAGGATCTACCAGGGGTGGTCTACCTGCCATGCTAGGGGTTCTTCCAGACCTGCTGTCCCCTCTGGAGTCAGTTCGAATCGCTTTAAAAAGGGAAACGGTAATAGATCAGGGAGTTAAAGGGGAAAAACAAAAACAAAAACAAAAAAGGGTTTTAAAAAGCAAAGCAGGGGATTGGTGGGGGGACTTTAATACAGTGTCGGACAACAGTTTAATGACAACCAAAGCTATGTGTGTGTGTGTGTGTGTGTGTGTGTGTGTGGTCTTACAGGTCGGCCTGGAGGGGGTGCAGTTCTCCTCCTGCTCAGCAGCAGGAATGTGGCGGGTCAGAGATTTGGCCGGCCTGGGCAGGGACGACCTCTTCTCGGGGCTGCGGTACGCTCTCTCCTGAACCAAACACACACACACACACACGGCAGAGATGGTGAGTGCACGTGGTTGCCGCCAAAGCCGGCCGACAACGCCGCCGCAAACCCCCTCGCTCCCGTTCACTTTACCTTCCCCGCCCATTTCTGGGGCAGAGGGGGCGGGTGGGAGCATGCGGAGGAGGGGCGAGCCTCGCGGAGCTCCGCCTCCACGAGGGGGCTCCGCTTGAGGCTGCAGGCGGAGCTCGGCCGGGGGGGGTGGCGGCCGAGTCCCCCGCCGCGCTGCACCGCTATTTTTAACAGCGCGGCGTTGGTGGGGCTCTGAGGGCGGCGAGGCGGAGGAGGGCGTGCAGGGTGGGAGGCGAGACGTGCGGGAGGTGACAAACAAGACATGTGAATGAGTGAAAGGACGGAGCGGAAATGGTTAATGGACACACAACAGGCACGGAAATGAGACACTACGAAAAAGAATCTGACGCAAAAAAAAGAAGAAATGACAGAAAGATGTTATGAGGTGGTGGTTAAATGTTGGGTCCGCACTCAGAACCAAGCGACTGAAATATCTGGGCCCCTCTCGTGCATCGCTGTACAAAGTGAGCCCTTTGTTCTTATCCAATCACCTCAGCCGCTATGTCTATACTCACAGATTTTCTCTGTCGAGACTGGCGCGGGCACAGGGGGGCAAGCATGCGAGACAAAGTGGCGACAGAGAGAAGAAAACAAGAACAGAGGCAGACATGCAGAAATGAAGGTAAACTGAAGACGGCCATGCAATGGGGTGCTTCGTTACAGACATAGGGATGTGTATTTGATTTAAAAAACAAACTTAAAGCTGTTCAGGTGCAGGCAATCCAATCTTTTCCATGCGGGTATGCACCAAAATCAAATGCGTGCACACGGTCGATAAAACTTACGGTGGGTCTCTCCCTGGACTGCTGGGCCACACTCAGGGGTTGATGGTGCTCCACACCTGTAACAATACCAAAGCCATACTCAATATAAACCGGCGAGAAAAGGGGGAGGGCGTTTTGCTAAAGCAACACAGACACAAACTCATCCGTGAAATGAAGAGAAAGTCCAAAAGCTCAGAACCGTGTGGTTAGGTTTCATTGCGGGGGATGACAGAGGACAGTTCGGCGGAAACACCCCAGATGCACACACAGCCTCACGCCACATTTCAGTCACTCCGCATTTGCGTTCGAAGACCTTTCCCCACACCCTTGCACAGCTTTGATTTACGAAAGGCAAAACAGTTGAAGAACAAAAGATGAAGCCCAGATTTCCTTGTAGTCGGATGTTAAATTCAAAGTTCAAGCAAACTGAAGCATCACCGAGCAGGAATAAAAACAAAAAAAACAATAAAATGAGCGGGTTTGACACATGAGAAATACAACACAGCAGTTGTGGAAATCAAAACAGAACAAAAAGAGAAAAACGTGACAATGATTTTTTTTTCTCCCAACAATGAATTAGCAGCCCATTATGTTTGCCAGCTACATTGCGTCTGTTCAAGTCCTCAATGAGCCATCAATAGAGAGAGTGAGCAAAACCTTGGACGCCCTCTCCCCCCCACGGAATGAAGCATAGATTTATTGTCACCTTTAAAAAAAATTTTCTTGCAATCTCTCTCTATCCACGGCGCTGATACCTGGTGAAAAGTGTTCACCTGTGGCCTTGCGTCTAGCAGAGCCGTGAAGCAGAGCAGGCCTAGGGTGTCTGGCCGCCACTTTGGCTCCACTCTTTCGAGATGGAGAGCGACTTTGGAGGGCTGACACCTTATTCTGGTCAACCCTCCTTATGCCAACTAGCAGAGAGGAAAGACAGGGTTATACCAACAACAAAACTACTGTCAAACATATGACAAACCTGTGCCTAGCATCAGGTTTTGATGAAAAGTGCTACTGGGCACAGCGTTAGTTTAGCTTTTTTTGGCTGAGAAAATATTTGATCAATACAGAAAGGGAACCTTTTTTCTTCTTCATCTCCTCTCTTGGTAGATAGTGGCCTGGTGTTTTGCGTGACATTTTACATTCGGTTGCATTGGGACGGCCCCTTCCTCTTCCACCACCTCGCTTAGTGGCTTTTTCCACCACCACAGGCATTTTGGTAGAACTCTGAGTCTGAGGAAGAGCTTCAATTTGCTCAGTCATGATACTTTTGTCATCATCTGCTGTGGAAAGGGATGGGAAAAAAAGGACTAGATCTCCACACTCCTCGCTAGCTAGGAATTAGCTTTGGAGAAGGCTCATCTAACAGACAGAAGCTTCTGGTACTAGCTATTCTTTAAATGTGAAATACTGAAACAAATATTAATTATACAATTGATAGATATCAAAATTCTACCAGTTCGCGGTACCTTGTGAGGCCATCCATGCACTGTCCATATCTAGGGCAGACACGTCCATGGTGGTTTCATCGTTGCCTTCGTCGCTGATCGCCTCCTGACCAGTCTCAACATCCTCCTCCCTTTTGTCATCCCCTTCCTCCAAATCTTTCTTCTCAACTACGTCATCGGAAGCCACGTCCTCCGATCCCACCTCCCCCGTTTGTGCTTTCTGTACCTCTTTATCCTCCTCCGTCATCGAGTCCATCTTATCCATTGGCGGTTCCTTCTCTTCTTTCACATCTCCGTCTCCTGCTTCTTCCGTCTGCTGTGGCAGGTCGAGGTCAGAGCACGGCGACAAGTGGGAACTGTCGGTTGCTTGCTCTCCATCGTCGCTGTTCAGGGCGCTGTGACTCCAATCCTCGCCTCCAGACTTGGGATCATCTTCCGTGTTCTGATCCCCGACCGTCAGCCTCGCTTGCTCCTTCTGTTGCCCTTCTCTGCCGTCTTCTCGCCCTGACTTGGGGCACAAAAGCTCCTCGGATGCTTCTTCCATAATTTCTTGCGGCTCTTCCGCAATTTCAATATCATCCTGTTCCTCAACTTGTGCTTGTGGAATGATGATGATCGGCGAGGATATTTGCGGCTTTGCCGGAATCACGTCTTGTAACTGCGTTTTAGCAACTTCTTCATCGACAGGCTTTTCGGGACTCGGACGCTCAAAGGTATTTGGCTGTTCTTGCATTTCTTTTTGTTCTAAACTTTTGGGTTTTCCATTCTCCTCTTCAATTATTTCCTCATCTCTTCCTTCTGTGCTTTTATGTAAAGACTGAGATGTTGTTGACGGTGCACCCGTGCTGGTTGTATGTGGTTGATCACCTTTATCTTCTGGATCTTTGTGCTCAGGTTGAGGCTGAGGCATGTCCCTGTCACACTCTGGTTTGGCTTCAACCGTCTCTGACTCCGAGACATTTCCTAGCAAGGCGTCGTTTCTCACCGTCTCTTTAGTGTCCTCCGTTTCTGAGCTTGTGTCAGCTGGGGACTTGGGGGTGGAGGGAGTCGGAGGTGCTTTGCTTGCGATCTCTGTGGGAGTGAACGTGAATGAACCGTCTGGTGGAATCGGAGATGCTTCTCTGGAGGGATCTTTTTCAATATCTACCTCAGGGATTGCTTGAATCTTTATGTCTCCAGGCAGGCCGGTCTCCAAACGAAATTCGGTAAGACGGTCTTTAGATGTCGTCATCGGGATTCTTAGGCGATCTGGCTTTATTCCGCTTGTCACTGCTCTTTCAAGTATCAGGGAAGACTTTACTGTTGAATCTTTCTTTTCCAACAGGGCTTTTTGAGCAGTTTCAGAGGTGGTTTCTTTTTGACCTGGCTGTAATTGTTTCTGAGCAACTTCATTGGCAGCTATGCCAATATTCTCCTCCACTTCACCCTCCACTGAGGGAAAACACTGGTGTGGAGAGTCCCCAGGACCGGGTACATCAGCAGGGGAAGGCATGGGTGCGGAACACTCACTGAAAATACAGTAGCCAAGTTCCTCCAGCTGACGTTCCCCTGCAACCATCCTAGGGGACTCACCTGCCAAAGCAAGCTTGGCCAAAGAACTCCCCACCAGTGCTGAAACATTGACAGGTACTGACTTCCGTCTCATAGGGTCAAATACCCTCCTCTCTAAGGATGGGCGAGGTAGGGCTCCAGCCAAGTCTAACATTTCAGAGAGGCTTCCCGATTCTTCGAAACACCTTGCAGAAGGCGATTCTGCCCTTGTTGGGATATCATTCGGCGAAGTAGATGACGTTGGGGTAATGGAGACTGCTGGTGGATTCGTGGGGATTTGGCTGACAGCAGATGGAGTTAAGGGCAGTTTCTCCTCTTCATGGAAGCCTGCACTGAGGGGGGACGCGCTTTCTGAGAATGTCCGTGACTCACCTCCCATTAGTGCCTGCCCAACAGAAGAACCAACGCTTGTGCTTACCAAGAGACTTTTTTCTTCCAATGCCGTCTTGCCTGGCGATGACCTGATGCTTTTCTCTTGCTGATCCTCCAATTTTTGTATCGTTTCATTTTCTTCTGTTGACTTTGTCTCTTCCATTGTGCCCAGTTCATAATAACCTTTTGGTGACCCTTCCCCTTGGTTTTTGGAGGATGTCTCAAAGTAGGTTTCTAATCCTGAATCTACTGGTATATCTGATGCAACTTGTGATGACATTTCAGTATCCGGATGTGGTTTTAAGGTTTCTTGCATCTGGCCAGCTTTCTGAATGCAACCCTCTTGTCCCTCCACACTTATCGCCTCAAATGGTCTTGTTTCTGACTTGCTTTCACTAATACAGGCTTTTGAGTCACATGTTAATATTTCCAAACTCTCCTCTGCCTTAACATTCTGTAGGTCCTTTGTCAGTGAAGGTTCCTTAGGTTCTTTGGCTATACACTCAGCTTCTTCAACTAGATCCTTGCCATCTTCTTTTGCCTGTTTACTTAGACACACATCAGAAAGATCTTTCTCTTTCAATGTGGGATCTGAAGGTTCACTTAAGGCAAGCTCTTCTTCAGGTTTCACTCTCTCAGCAGCCGGGTGCTTCTCCGGTAGCGACGTCATGTGGTAGTCTTCTTGCTTTATTGCAGATTCACAAGATCCCTTGCTGACACTCTCCTCCAGCTGGGCTGTGAGTTTAAACGAAACCTTACAACCTCACGTCGAGTCACACTTGCCAAAAGCTTTGCTTGCAGCATCCACAAAGCTAGCCCATACAGTCAAGCCGATGCCTTTTGCACATAGATACACCACCTCTCCATCAAGCAAAACAAACAGCACAGTCATTTGTGACAGGCCACAAGAGCACAAAAGGGGGCCGAGCATCTAACTTGGCGTGCAGGACTGCAATGAAGGAATGAGTTGCATGATGTCATATGACAAGAAATAATGGAAAACCAGTTATTGAATTCCTATTGCAAAGAGAAGATGGACTACTTGATCAAAGATAATGATTTTATTTCATGAACTTATATATCAATTATTGATTATGTTTCAAGAATGGACATACTGTGGTCAAAAATGATTCTTTATGTAATTCAATGAGTACGACTTCTTAGAAAGGCAATCTTTATTGATATGATTATAAATGGATCTTCAAATTGAAAGTGTTTTCAATAACAATAGGAAAACATGATTATCTTTAGCCTTGGAATGAAATGAAAACAGTGAATTCTAAAAAAAAGGAAAATACATCAAAATCAAAACACGTTCAGGACTTATTTGTGAAGCACCCATAAAACAGTGGGTGTTCTCATACACAGCTACTTTCACACACCAGATTCCAGTGGAACCCACATGAAAATATACAGACAACAAATTCTTGCAACAGTAACATCTACAATGGCAGTTTTCACGGCAACAATTGGGTTTGCAATGTAGCTGGCAAAGCTAGGGTGCAAAAATGATCAACTACAATATGGCTGATTGGGTGTTTCTAAAAAGCAGATGGCTATGTTTTGCATGAAAAGCTTCAAATCAAAATGTCACGTCATTTTGCACATGGCAACTTCAAGTACTCGAGCTGAAGCCGAAAGAACTCAGGGAAATAAAAGCGGCAGGAAGGCTGGCAGGAAAGCCTGAGCAGCATTACAATTTGTAAATCACGAGCAGAGACACTTTGTCCCCCCTTAGAGAGCAAAAAGATCTCATGCATAACAGGTAATGGGTAAACATTCAGTCTCTCGCTCACACTTGCTCTCATACAGTATAATGTTCATTGCGCACATATACAGTGCTCCCACTCATAGCGTAGTGAAAACAACACACACCTTTTTCTGACTGGATGTGTTCAACTTGATGACTTCCTCCATTGAGTGCCTCAGGTGTCTGAGCTTCCTGGTAGCCCAATGCATGGGGCTCAGTTAAATAATCTGTTTGCTCTAAGAGCATGTGTCCTGGCTGCTTATAAGCCACTTCCTCCTGGTAACTGCTGGGCTCCCCTTTAGCCTCCTCCACATCCTGTGGTTGACTGACAACCTCTACTTTACCCTCTTTGAGCATGGAAGGGAAACACATGGATGAGACATGGACGAAAAACAAGACTGAGCTTACATGGGTTGAAAGACACTTTCAGCTCTGGTGGTGCATGGCCTGCAATCAGTGCACAATGTTGCCTACTTTGTAGATAAATATAAATACAGATTAACGGAGGGGAGATATGTCTAAAGTAGGGAAATTCCCCAAAGTTGCAAACAAACATTTGAATAACAAATCAAATATGGAAGTTATTAGTCTTTTACAGTTCACTTCCAAAATATCAAAGATCGAACTGCTCAAATTTATCTCAAAAGTTGTTATTGCGACTAAACTGTGTGTAAATGTCATTTTGGAAGGTCAGCGCTGCTAACCGCCAAAGCCTCGCCGGGGATTCTACAATACCTGAACTGAGCTGAAAATGTGAACGGCTCCCCACAAGGTGAACGGCTCCCCACAAAGGAACACTGCGGCCTTATGTGTGCCGTCCTCATTTTATGTGTCGTCTTTACTGTGCATATAAATGACGTCGCAGAACTATACTTGAACCCTTGCCAACGCTTTTATGTCGTGCACTGGATTAGCACGACAGACATCATATACAATATCTAAGTTTTGATGGGATCTGCAGATAAAAAGAACACCACTCTTCGCAATATTTCCTCCAGCTTTTCCACTTTTCAAATGACCGCCAAATGCGTTGGACAGGAAGCCTATCTTTGGGGTTAGCAGAAACTGACCTTTCAAAATACACAAAGAAACCTTCAACAGAGGCAAGTAGCCCTTGAACCATGCAGTGAGGGTTAGCGGTTCTAAATTACTGCGATCGCATGCCACATCCAACATGACTGACACGAAAACAGCACTGATCTCAGTGAGCAAAGAGCTGAAAAGTCATTCTTTGATTTACTCGTGGCGGGGAAAAAAAAAAAAATCAATGCCCAGGAGGATGAGCAGATGAACAACAAATGAGATGCGGATGCAGCAAAGTGAAGAAATGGAGTCCAGGGCTCCAGTGGCAGGTTTCCGCTCTAATGCCTGAGGGAAGAGTGTCTGTGTTGGGTCAGTCCTTTAATCTAATCGGACTCATATCGCTGTGTGTTAAGAGTACAACTAGAAAAAATAGAGTGGAAAAGAAAGAGTGAAGCGGGACAGCAGGAAGTGTGGCACTTGCTGAGGGTGACTGACTGATCAGCCCACATGCAGAAAGGCAGAAAATGCACAAGGAGACCAGGAGAAGGAGGCTTAAGAAAGAGAGTCCTTCATCTACGAGTTTGGTGCCTTGCTTTCGTGATATTCGTGCCACTCCCACTACCATTCACATCCCGGAATTTTTCTGCAGTGGGTTTAAGTGTATGTACCTTGTGCCACGGGCCCAATCTGCTCAGCGGATGGAGAGGGGGGAGGGGAGGGAGGCAAATTGGCTGAGTCATCCACTGTGAAGGGAGAGAAGAAAGAGAAAGAGACACACCGGGGAGACGAGACGTGGATGGGAGGAAGGAAATGAGAGACGAATAACTCGGCCGACCTTAACCCTGTGTGTGACCTCCCGCTGGAGAGCGGGGCTTTTTCTCGTTACTGTCTAAAGGAGGCAGAGGCAATCGGGCGTTACATTTTCTCCGGTGTTGAAGAAAATGGCAAAAATTTAGCTGAAGGAGGTAGGCTTCCATCACATATAAATCGATGAAAAAAAAATCCATTAACCGAGAAAAACAGCTTTGCCTATGATCTGAATATTTTAACATGAGGAGACTTTTTTAATCAAAAAGGTTTGTTAAAATTTCACAAAGTCTATCATAAATAAAAATGTATATATATTTTGTGTTAAATCGTGGATAGCATATGCGTATTCACAGAAATATGAAAAAAGACCATCTTTGATGTGCTAAAAGCCCGAAAGTTTGTGGTCTACTTGCTGAAAACTCCCCAAATGTGGGCTTTTTTTTTAATTCTTGTTTTGGTTTTGTGCCTTTGTGAACAGAGACACTGCACATTGCTCAGCACTCATTCATAGTTTGTTTTGTGTGTTTTCAGCAGCCTAGAGGGCACTGATTACCCTTGCAAGGCGTCATGAAAAAAAAAGAACAAAAAGACAACACACACAGCTGTAAATCCATCTGGCAGTGTGTTTGTGTTTGAAGTGTGTGTGTTTGAAGTAGCTCGATCAATGTCCGTGACACTACGCAGCATGCACATGCTTCAGCAAAGGCCTTCAAATGTGTACCCACCTGTGGTCGCAGGGTGTCCAGCTGCCCCTCCGTGGTACCCGTTCTCCCTGTAGCCGGAGCTGTAGGAGGGGTACTCGTTTTCGCCGTTCTCTTGGCCGTTTGAGGCCCAGTGCTCATCGGGTTGCCTGCCGTCTGCCATGCCTGCCTGCTGGGAAACCGGGGGAAGGAGATGGGTCACCTGCCGGATCTGAGCCGAGACAGAGAGCGGGCGGGTGAGTAAAAAAGGGGGATCTGACCAAGGCTCGAATCTCAACAGTGTACTTTGTGGAGCTTGACCGTTTGGCGGCCAAGCTCCACAAATCGTCCAGCAGAGGGAGCCGGGGAGCCACTCGTTCAACCTCCCACATCTCAGCCCTTTGTCTCAGCATTCCATGTGCTCACGCAGGAGAAAAACGGACAGAAATATCTGAACATGACCGGTTCGGATTCACCACCGTGATGAATTGTTGCACCTGCAATGCTCCGTGGATTTAAAAAACAAAACAAACAAAAAAACTGTGATCCGACAGCACATTATCTCAAAACATGTCGATAAAAGGGTGAATTGATAATGAGTGACTTTATCTTTTTTTTTTTTTAAATGGAAAAATTATTACCAGATGCAATTCTGAAAAATGTGACCACATACAGTGGGAAAAAAAAAAAAAATCATGCCGAGAGTACCCTTCACATCCCCTTTGCCCTGATCAGAAGGTTGTTACCGTGGCAACTAGAAAAGGTCTTTTGGGGAGTCTGGCAGATGGTTTTGATAGGATTGCACCCATTCAAACAAAAGAATAAAAAATGAATAAATAAATCAACATAAATTTGGAAGTGTTAATGCGTAAAATGACAGGGGTGAGCCCCCCCCGCTCACAAGAGACGGGCCCTTTCAAAGTACATTACATTATCAAAGTATCTGAATTCTAATCAAGCCCAACCCTCATAAAAGCAGCGCTTTTCCCCTCCAGAGTAAAACGCACAAAATGTTGACTTTTAAACAAAAGTAACCATCTGGTGCCCGACGGTGGAAAGGCGTCATCGTCATCGCGCAGCTGCGCCCCATTTGAGCCGAAGATCACCAGTATCGGCAGCTAACGGAATAAATCTGTTCTAAACGCAAAAACGTCCAACTGCTGTGAGCTCTCTCCTGGCCTCTTCTGTCCTGCCCTTGCAGAGATGCGCGGAGACAGGCGGGCAGCAGTCTTGGCTTACGTCTGCTGCAGTCAGCGGGGGGGGAAAGGGAAGCAAAAAAAAAAAAAAAGGGAAGAAAGAGTGAGGAGTGGAGAAAGACCTACTGGCACTGAAAGATACTGGGCCAAACTGTCTGAGGGAGAAAATCTGAGCCCTGGGCTCTGTCGCCAAAGCGAGCCTGGCCTCAGCTGTTGCTAAGGAAGAGAGAGCTGGTGCTGACAGGCTGGCCCGTGACGATGGTTTGTTTTGGAACGGCGCTGACCTGCTTTCAGCTGCCGCTCTGGCATGACGTGACGGTGGCCTGACAAATGGATGCTATCAGCGGCGGCTTGTGCCCTTGTGCTGCAGCATCGTCCGGCACGATAGCGACCTTTGGATGGAATAAGTCGTCGGAACGCCGGAGGACATCTCTCCTGGTTCCGGTACGGAGAAAAACATCACGCATCTGCAGTCTAGACTGCAAAGCAGTTTCCTTAGCACCCCGTTTATCAAAACCCACAATAGCTTGCTTATTGCTGCGGCAGATGCTCATCTGGACTATAAGGCAGCACATAGAGGGGGCATGTTCTGTCATTACAGTGGGGCTTTTCTTACAGTTCAGCTTGCACAGCCATAAAAGGAAAGCTCCAGAAAAAAACACAAAAAACAAAAAACAAAACAGGTTGATGCCTCCACAGATGTCTTTGCAGGTGTTCCAGTGAAGGACGCCAAGTAAAAGACCATACGTACAAAAATGGACACAACAAACAACACTTGGAAAAATGACAATACGCGCCACTGCCATCACATAAAATAAACTCGCATTAACTTACTAACTTTCTTTAATATCCTCTGAGTGAACTAAAATACGACTCGAACTGAATGTAGAAGCCTGTATTTGACCAAAGAAATCCAGTTGATCGAAGTCATGTTGATGTGGCTGAAGTCCAACTGGGGCAATTCATGTCGATGTAAACCGTGGTTGCGTCCTTAAAAAGGTGATCACAAGGCTGGCTTATCCTTTTTGACTACTGCCCGTAACTTTCGAAAACAGTTTGCTTTTCTCCCGTCGCTTAGGTCTGCCCACTCTCCAGACCTTGCTCTCCAGGCACGTCTTGTCATCCTCTGGTTAACGCGAGCCGACACTGCCCTTTCTCCTTGGTTCCTTTCAGATGTTTACCAGTCTCGCTCCGTTAGCGGGATTTGGGATAAACTGTCTAATGGCAATCTTTAGGGGGGAAAAAAAAAGTTAGCGGCAGACTCCCAAAGCTGGATGTTGAGCGAGGCGTATTCTGCGCCAAAGGAATTTTTAACATTTTTCCTCACGGTAAGAATTTCCCAAAAAACCTTGCAGAAAATTCTTTCTTTTACAGCCAACTGATAAAGACTTATTTTGTGATAGATTAGAAGATGGCCACATATCAAGGTTAGGTCCCCTTTGGGGCCATTAACGGCTCTCTGAGGGTCTGAAAACAAACCATCAACCACCCACACCCTTTAAATGTAAGCTTCTTTTAGCCTGTCTGGACACATTATGCTGTTTTTTGTGTGTTTTTTTGCCCCGGCTGTGTTTGACCTTTACATCTTAAGAAGCTCAACAATTGGCTGACAACAGCTCAGCGTGCAGTAACCCTGTTCTTGAAAGGGGTTATATCGACGGAACTCAAGAGTCAAGGCAGGGCCGTCTGATCTCATCACATCTCAGGCTTGACGTCTCAAATTGAACATGCCAGCGTGCTTTCTTAAAGAGACAAGTGGGGTGTGGCGGCGGGCCCGAGGCAAACGGGCTTCTTCTTCTTTTTTTCTCTATATTTCTTTCTTTTTTTTCCCCTTTAACGCCGCCGTCTCCCGATTCTATGGCCCTCGTTTCCGCAGACCTCGCCACACCCAATGCCTGGATCCCAACCCCCCCTCCTTTGCTGCCCCCTCCTCCCGCCGATCCCATCCCGATCTGGGTCATCCGACATGCCTTCGTGGAGCGCCGCTCGGAACGGAATGTCACCATCCATTTGGGGAGGGAGGGGTGGGCCAACCTGGGCTTAATCCTGTGCGTGAGCCTCCCAGTCTGTGACGGGAACGCTAACGACAACGAATCGCCGGCGACATAATACCGAGTGCTGTCATTATTATTCTCCCCCAATACGTTTGCTATGCCCCGTTAATCCAGTGCGGGGTTTGGAAATCCGTAACATGTCCAGGTGCTGAAACCTACCGTGGCTCCTAACGTCGCCTGAGAATCAACCAAACCCCATTTTGGATTGAACATGCAGGCTTTTTCTGTGCTTTTTGAGGGATCAGCTTAACTTTGTAAAAAAGGACAGATGACAAAGATTGGATATTCTTTCCGTTTCTTTGCAAGTACACTTAAAAGCAACCAGACCTGCATCCGGGAAGCTTGTATAGTCTGCTTTCATTGTTGATTATGTCCCATCTGGCTTTTACCTCTCCAATGTAATGGGAATTTGTGTTGCTAAGCTCGAACTGCTGATGCCTACCTGCCAATTCGATGACGTTTCCTTTTTACTTGCACGGTCCTCTTTCAATCTCTTTTTTTTTTCTTTTTCTGTATGACCCTGAGACAATACAAGCCAACAATACATCTCACACTAAAAATGCAACTCAGAATGACTAATTAACAAGCACTAAAAGAGTTTGAATAAATGCAATTTTTGATTCATTGGGTGACAACATTTGTAATAAACACCCCATCGCGACTATATCAGAGTGCCGGGTTTGTTGGAAAGCTGTTAGCCGGTTTAAGAGTTGACGTCTGGGTATGGCGCGCTGCTGGGACGCTTAACGTGCCAGTGACCTGCGAAAAAAAGCCACTGCAGTGGCTTCCTCCCCTTCAGCGGGCAGCAGACCAGCAGCTTAAGTGCCGCTGACTCAGCAAGGCGCACGGGCGGGTCAGAGCGCGATGAGTTGCTGCCGGTGAAGTGTGAACGACGCGCTTAAACGGCGAGCCCCGAGCGTGACGGGGGAAGGCACGCGCGCTCACGCAGACATGAACGAGAGGCAGGGGGACCAATTCTATCGTTTTCATTCAAATCAACCTAGGGCCGAATCATTCGTGGACTTTTCTTTTGTTTTTTTTGCTTGGTTAAATCTTTGAAATAGAAGCAAAAGCAACTGAGAATATTGACTACCATTGAAGTCATTAGTTTTTTTAATCTCATCTTTACATTTCCGGCAGTAATTTTCTTTGATTTTATTTTGGAACCCGTTTTCCCTTTGTTGTGGGCAACTTTCTTCAATAATTTACGCATGAATCAATATTCTCTTTGATGATTAATCAAAGTTACCGTGCCCTGGACCGATCCATATATGAATCTACTGCCTGGGGGACTTACATATATATCAGGTTTCTTTGATTTACTATGATTGATCTAGGATTTTGTGAGGTAATTACAAGTTGTAATCCTGACGAAGCTAAGAGCAACTAGGAAAAAGGTAGGAGGGCCGAGAATTTTCAAAAGCAAAAACACTGCAATCCCTGAGATTTTTCAGGATTTCAGTGTGGTTTAAAAGTCTGACTCGACAGACTAAGCTTTATTGCCTAGGCAACCGACTGAAGAGCATTATATTTGAAAAGATCTGAAAAGCTGCAACTATTTGAAATGTTTTTTTTTGGCCCATTTACTCGTTTTCACTTTCTTTTAATTGGGTTACTTGGGTTGTTTGTTGGTCAGTATTAATATTTATGGACCTGTCAGTGCCTCAAGCTGCAGGGGAATGTTTAGGGTTTGTGTTTTACATGGTGAAAAATCCCTTTTCTACTACAGGCTAAGGAGCCACTAGCTTAACTGCTCAATAAGAATTTACCTGATTTGCTCCATTCTGAAGCACTTTGCTGTTACACACAAGTAAGACGTTGACTACTCACAAAAACTTCAAACGAGCCCACATCAAAAGAAAAAAAAGGAGTTTTGTACCATGCAGACAACCTAAAGCTCCAACAACTGCTGGAAACACTCCCTGAGGATTAAACGCACACAATTAAAGAAAAGAAAAATGATCCCACTACAGTGCATCTGCAGTTGTAACTCCCTCTTTTCAATAGAAATGCATATCAGCGGGATAATAACCCCTTAAACTAATCTGTACCGGATAATCCTGCGTTTAACGTTGGTCTGCAGATGGACGCCCCACCTTTAAGACAACGTGTCTCCTCGGAAGTTCGAATCCCGCCTTTCTC